GGGAGAAGTTTAAAACTTAGAGGTAAGCCATTGTATATAATTAGAACCTCCATAGCTGACCACCTCCTTAAGTTTACGTCTTTTTTTTTTTTTTTTTGAGACAGAGTCTTAAGCTGTTGCCCTGGATAGAGTGCTGTGGAATCACAGCTCACACCAGCCTCTAACTCTTGGGCTCAAGCAATTCTCTTGCCTCAGTTTTTCTATTTTTAGTAGAGATGGGGTCTCGCTTTTTGTTCAAGCTGGTCTTGAACACATGAGCTTAAGCTATCCACCTGCCTTGGCCTCCAAGATTGCTAGGATTATAGGTTTGAGCCACTGCGCCCAGCCAGGTTGACCTAACGTTCATAGACTGGACATACACCATGTGTATGTTTCAGTGCAGTAGGCCTATTTCCTTGCATTGACCACCTCCACATGTTGACCAGTTTGTTACCTCCCTTGGGTGGCCAACTTAAAGAGGTTCTACTTTACAGACCTTGAAACTACAGGTAAGCCACTATAGGTATACCTACAGATACAAAGCCAAAAAGATGACATTGAATATTTTAAGACTCTAACTGTTGAAACTACAAATTAACCTTAGCATGGTTAACAGCCAGTTTACTAGATTAGCGTAGTAATTTTATGTGACAACGTTGAAATTAAAGCATCTATGTTGATTTATTGTTGTTGTGCAGAGGTTACTCTTCACATTATATATGGCAACATTTGAGGTATATTCCATTTAAATAAGATTATTCTCTTTACTTGGTATTACATTTCAATTTGACAATAGGTGTCACTTTTTAGTGCTAATGCTGTATCTCTCCTGTACTGTTCTGTAGACATTTTCTTTTCTTTTTTTTTTTCTCACATTTTCTTATATTAGTATAATATTTTAAGATTTTTCATTCCTAATGACTGTTAGGCCAGTTGCCAAATATTCCTCAAAGTTTTAAAATGTGATAGATATGAGACAGTAATACTAATAACTTGTATCTGGGGGTTTTAATTTTATTTCTAATAATTTTATTTTGTCTTTAAGATTTATATTAGGTTCATTAGCTCTTTTATTATTTTTGGTGTTTTCTTTAATTTTTTTTTATTAGATCATAACCATGTACATTACTGCATTTTGGGGGTATAATGTGCTGATTTTATATAAAATTTAGAATGCTTGCATCAGACTGGTTAACATAGCCTTCACCTCATTTATTTAATTGTTGTGTTAAGACATTTATACTCAACGCCCAGAATGGTGAAAGGATTAAAAAGTTCCACTGGGGCAGCAGAGGAGTAGGGCACTGGCCCCATATACCAGAGGTAGCAGGTTCAAACTTGGCCCTAGCCAAAAAAAACTGCAAAAAACAAAGTCTTTTTTTTGAGACAGAGCCTCAAGCTATCCCCCTGGGTAGAGTGCCATGGCATCACGCTCACAGCAACCTCCAACTCCTGGGCTCAAGCAAGTCTCCTGCCTCAGCCTCCCAAGTAGCTGGGACTACAGGCGCCCGCCACAACGCCTGGCCATTTTTTGGTTGCAGCCATCGTTGTTTGGCAGGCCCGGGCTGGGGATTCGAACCCACCACCTTAGATATATGTGGCTGGTGCCTTAGCCACTTGAGCCACAGGCGCCGAGCCAACGAAGTCTTTTTTTTAAAAAAAAAAAAAGTTCCACTGATCACTTGAAATACATGACAACAAAAACACTTCCATGCTTACCAGTACTCTCAATTAATGTGAATGGTAAAACTCTTAATTTACCTGGTTTAGGTAAATATTAGCAGTAGGTTATTTAGTATTCCTTTTTTACTTCAGAGGTAAGAAATATAAAAAGCATCCTGCTAGGTAGAATAATCTGGATATGATTTTCTTAACCAATCTAACATACATCAGAGCTTTATTTTATGAATAAATAAAAGAAAGGACTCTATGAAGCCAAGAGGGGAGGATTGCTTGAGACTAGGAGTTTGAGACCAGCTGGGGCAACCTAGTGAGAGACCTTGTCTCTAGCCCCCCAAAAGAAAATTAGCCATAGTGGTTGTGCGTTCCTGTAGCCCTAGCTACTCGGGAAGCTGCGGCAGAAATATCTATTGAGCTCAGTGAGCTATGATCATTCCACTGCACTCCAGCCTGGAGTAAGACCCTCTCTTAAAAAAAAAAAAAGAAAAAAGAAAAAAAGAGAGAGAAAGACAAGGAAACAAGAACCAAATAGTTTTTAACTCTCTATTCCATTAGACATCATGAAGAAAATGAAAATAATGAACCTAACATTTAAAGTCTGCCATATAGTGATAAAATACACTAAACATTGTTCAATTTAGCGTTGTGCTTTATACCTCATTAACTTCCAAATCTGTCTTCCTGCCTGATTTCTGATTTGGAAGTAATTAGTCTCATTTGTACTTCTAGAGATATTTTTAGTCCTTGGCGTATACTTCTGCATAGCAAGATTCTATTATAGAATATTCTTTGATTGTAGAGGCTTTTGTAGATTTTGTGATGTTTTGTAAGGAAATGTGTATAGCTATACTGAACATTTTACAAAATGAGTATTAGAAGAGGGTTTCTACATTTCAAAGTCTTAAACTCAAGTGGTTTGTTTTTCCATTCTAAAATGTAGAGAGGCAATTATAGAGTCTCCATGACATTTGTTCAAGAATTTAGGCTCAGCGCCCGTAGCACAGTGGTTACGGCGATAGCCACCGTACACTGAGGCTGGCAGGTTTGAACCTGGCCTGGGCCAGCTAAACAACAATGATGACAACCTCAATAAAAAATAACTGGGCATTGTGGCGGGAGCTTGTAGTCCCAGCTACTTGAGAGGCTGAGGCAGGAGAATCACTTAAACCTAAGAGTTTGAGGTTGCTGTGAGCTGTGACACCACTGTACTTTACTAAGACAACAAAGTGAGACTCTGTCTCAAAAAAAAAAAAAAAAAGAAAGAAAAAGGAATTTATATGATCCTTTGAGAATTAATGTCAACATATCAGAAAAATCAGACTTCTTTCTATTTATGTGCTTATTTTTAGAATCTCTGGGACTTCAGATAGAATGATTAGCCATCACTTTTGCTCTGGGTAACTTAGATAAACCTGTGAATTAGTCTAAACTATTCATCAAGATGAGTGATTTTTAACTGGTGTCCCAGGAAAATTTTTAACGATCATTAATTAGTTTCAAAAGAAGTTCAAAGCATAGTAAGTGTATTCTTTTTTTTACTCTCTTTTTGGATCGACATAATTTAAATGTGCCATGGAAGTTTAACTATAAGTTCAAGTGTGCCATGAGATAAAAAAAGGTAGAAAAATACTGTTCTAGAGTGTCAAAATCCTAAAGTGACAACACAAAGTTTATGTTTGGGGTGTGTTGTTTTGTTTTAGTGTCTGATGTTTTTATTTTGGTCTTAGCCTCCACAGCATAGCAAATATAAAACATACATGTGTCGAGATATGAAGCAGAGAGGAGGATGCCCTCGTGGGGCCAGCTGTACATTTGCGCATTCACAGGAGGAACTGGAAAAGTAAGTGTGAAAGTTATATGAGACTCAAGCCTTTGGAATAATTTGTTAACATTAAGAAACAGATAAAGGGTAGTTGCTTACTCTTAAATGAACAGGAAATCTTTAGAGTGTAAACAGCTTGAGCTTATGTGACAATCCAAAGTGGTCCAAAATTTGAAACTTTTTTAGCATAGAATTGACACTCCAAGTGGAAAATTCCACACCTGACCTCAAGTGATGAGTCACAGTTAAAACTTAGTTTCATGCATAAAATTATTTAAAGTATTTCATAAAATTTCAGGGTATGTGTATAAGGTATATATGAAACGTAAATGAATTTCATGCTTAGACGTGGGTTCCATCCCCAGGACCTCTCATTACATATTATGAGATATTATTCAAATATTCCAAAATCCAAAAATATCCCAAATTTGAAACACTTGGTTCCAAGCATTTTGGATAAGGGACACTGAACCTGCATATAATTTTTTAAAAAGGAAAGCAGTTTCTTTAGCTTTCATTAATTACATCATGCCCATAGATAGGAAACTATTTTATGGTTAACTAAATCTAAAAGTAAGTCATGTCTGCTATAAAGAAAAAGTTAAAATTCCAATAATTGTAGTCAATTTTAACTACTGATGTAATGTAGTTTCAATGGAAAAATTCTCCCTTGGCTCAATGTCTCAGGGTCTTTCAGACTTCAAGAACCATATACTTTTTGTGATGTTAATTTTTTGGCAAATGGAAGAAAGAAGGGGGGAAGTCTTAATTTTTGTTATAATGCTAGTGTAACAATGACACTAAATTTGACAAAGACAACACAACCGCAATTCAAGTTCACATATTAATATTAAAAATCAAGAAAATTAAAATAGTGTGCAGTAAGTTAAAGTAGATGCCTTGACTTAGTGCAAAGATAGTACCATATAATTCCCAAAACTTAGAGAAGACACATATGATCATATCCAAAAATGCCAAAAGATATTTATATAAAATTAAGGAATCAGAATCCCTAATGCAACAGAAATATCACAACTTTCTCAGCATAATAATGAATTATACCATAAAACTCATCATGGTAGTATGATGCTTAATTAGTAAAATATTTGATTCGATCTCATTAAAGTCAAGAATAAGGAAAAATTTCCTACTAGTATTTTTTGCTAGTAATTAATAGTAAAACTTGCTACTGTTATTATTTAATACTCTGGATGTATAATAGTAGCTAATGTAAAAAAAACAGCTGTAGAATGATTAATTGAAAAGAAGAGAAGTACTAGAAACAAAGTGAGAGTTTAGTAAAAAGTTGGCAAATTTTAAAACATAATACAACTAATACTCCTATAAACTAAAAAGGAAAATGTAACCAGTTAAAAAGTAGGTCAAAATTAAAAATCCCTTCTGTATTTACAGCGGCAAAAAAAGATAAATATCACACAGTAAGAAATATTTTGGGCCTGCATGAATTGAATTAATAAACTACCAAGGAACATAAGAGAAGAACTAAATAAATATACTATGTTTTTAGATAAGACTTGGCATTATAAAAGCTTTATTTTTTCTTCAATTAAACAACAAAGTCTATGAAAGCTCAATTTAAATTTCAAAATGATTATTGTTAAGGGGCTAAGAAAATTATTCATTTGAAAAGAATAAATATATAAAAATAGGCAAGAAAATTCTGAAAAAGACATCTTTGACAGGTACTAGATTAATAACTGTTAACCTGTAACAGGAACTAAAGTCAATAGAAAGACTGGTTTTGCATAGGAATCAATCATTGAAGTGCAATAGAGAATCTATTACCTAAAGTTTGAGATACAGGCTTGGCACCTGTAGCTCAGCAGCTAGGGCGCCAGCTACACACACCAGAGCTGGCAAGTTTGAATCAGCCCAGGCCTGCCAAACAACAATGACAAATACAGCCAAAAAATAGCCAGGCATTGTGGTGGGTACCTTTAGTCCCAGCTTCTTGGGAGGCTGAGGCAAGAGAATCACTTAAGCCCAAGAGTTGGAGGTTGCTATGAGCTATGACACCAAAGCACTGTACCCAGAGCGACAGCTTGAGACTCTGTCTCAAAAAAAGAAAGGGTGGGTGGGTCGGGCAGTGCCTGTGGCTCAAAGGAATAGGGCACCAGCCCCATATACCAGAGGTGGTGGGTTCGCCCCAGACCAAAAACTACAAAAAAAAAAAAAGTTTGAGATACACATAGGAACTTAGCATATGTGCTAAATTTCATATAAGTGCCACTCCCTCAACAACAACAACAAAAAACAAAGATTGTGAAGTAACTGATATCCATTTGAAAAATAGAGTTGGATTCTTACCTTAATTTTTTTTTTTTTTTTGGTAGAGACAGAGTCTCACTTTATTGCCCTCAGTAGAGTGCTGTGGTGACACACAGCTCACAGCAACCTCCAACTCCTGGGCTTAGACAATTCTCTTGCCTTAGCTTCCCCAATAGCTAACTACAGGCACCCGCCACAACTCCCAGGCTATTTTTTTGTTGCAGTTTGATCGGGGCCGGTTTGAACCTGCCACCCTTGGTATATGGGGCTGAACCCTACCCACTGAGCCACAGGTGCCACCCTCTTACCTTAATCTTTATATCAAGATGAACTCTAGCTGTATCAGAGATTTAAGTATTTAGGAAGGAAACCATGGACTACTAAAAGACTTTATTTTTTCAGTTGCTAATTTTTAATATTAAGGAAAGGATTTTCAGCACAACAATTCAGCATCTGTAAAGAAAATATTGATAAATTTGATTACATAAATGTTAAAAACAGATATAGTACAAACACAAGAGTTTATATCCCCACCCAAAAAAGATTGGTGGGGAAATACATTACAGAGAGGGCTGATGTCCCTAGTACAAAATAAGCTGAACACTTACAAGGAACCAATAGATTTATGGGCCATAAACATAAATAGACAATTCACAGAAAAAATACCAATGGTCAGTAGACGTAAAAACTGTGTCAACCTCACTAATAGTTAAAGAAATACAAATTAAAACAACCTAATAGTTTTAAACTAACACACAACAAAAGACTGATACTACCTAATACTTAATGAAGTGTTGAAAGACATTTTCCTTTATTATCAATAGGAGTTGTAATAATTTTAGAAAGCAGTAGGCATTATAAAAATTTCTAATTCATGTCCCTTTTGACTTAGCAGTTCTGCTTCTGTTTACTTATGCAAGGATGCAGACACCTAATTATTCATTACAAAATTGTTTTAATAGCAAAAAATTAGAATAAAACAACCTAAAATGAACTGGCATAACAGACTAAGAATACTAAGTGAGGGGAAAAATTACTGAGCATACAACTTGACCCTCTTTCAGTAAACAGTAGTCTTATATGCATATGAATACAAATATTAAGCTGAAATATAGAGGGGAAAATCTTATTTGATGATACACTCAACTCTTAACAATCATTAACCTCTGAAGGAGAGTCTTTGTCTCACCCCTAGAAATTGGTCAAATATAGGAAACTTGGAAAAATAGCATTACTCTTATGGGAGTTTATTTTTTAAATAGTTAAATATGCACTAGCATCTGTCAATGGATTTGCTTTTATTGTTGAGGAACAGGTATCCTGGAGTTTTATGGCTTAAAATTTTTTTTCCTTTGGTTAGGTTTTAGAATCTATGTGTCTTTTATCCCACATTTGTTTGAGTTTAGGCTGTTATCCTGTTTTTTTTCCATTAACTTTTAAAATAATTTCAGTTTAATGTAGGTACACATAATATTAGCAGCTCTGAAGTAATTATGAAAAAAGCCACTATTATTAATTATTTAAAATTTTTAATGGAGTTAGTGGTAAATTTTTTACAGCATACACTGGCTTTGTTCTTGTTTTATTGATTTTTAACATAGGTGCCCTGTATTTCAAGGTATTTACCAGAAAGCTAAAGTGAAAGATTTCAGAAAACCATCTTCTAAATATTTTTCTACTAGCTCTTCCAGTAAGCTTTAGAAATTGGAATTTCAACAAAACTATACTGTAGTAAAAATATTTATAGCATAATTTATAATGTTACAAACATGCATATTTTCATGAGGAATTTTATATTTAAATAGTATGTCTTGCTCCTTGAGATTTTGTTTTTTTTTTTGAGACAGAGCCTCAAGCTGTCCCCCTGGGTAGAGGGCCGTGGCATTACAGCTCACAGCAACCTCCAACTCCTGGGCTCAAG